ACATTAGAAACTAAAAAGAATGCGAAGTGGTCGAGCTGGCTAGATTCATCTTATAAGCACTTGCCGTGTAATAAGGCACGGGGGTTATTCTGAAAATGCCTAATCTATAGAAGATAACCCGATAAAAGCTTCCCCAAAGAATTGAATGTGCAGAGCGCTATAGTAGAATTAAATTATGAATATAGAAAGACTGACTATATCAAAGCTGATGCAGATTGACTGCGTTTGGTCTTTGTCTACGACTGATAAGAAGATCTTGAAGTGAAAAGTATTCAAGCACGCATTTTAAATCATAAATTCCTTACCTTGCGTGGTGTAAGCATTTTGAGCGCCAATTCAATTTTTCTTTCCTAAGAATCTTCTCTGTTTTTTTTATATTCGCTCGTCGTCCGAGTCAATCAATTTTTACAGCAATTTTCGCATGAACATGGCATCCGTTCCAGTACCCATCCAATTGCTTCGAAAGAGGAAAGCAGTCCGTCTATCACCCATCACCGTTCCACGCTAAATTGTAACCCTCCCCTAAGATTGTCTCCCGTGCCAAAATCTATCAAAACATGTCCATTTAATGGCGGCTTTCGGGCCGTTCTGGGCCCTATGATCCAGCGGCGCCTTCGACAGCAGCATGCCATCGAAAGTAGATGCCCCACTTGTTGAGATCGCATGGATAAGCATGGAGCGAGCTGGTACTATCATTAGTGAGGCTTATTTCAAGGAGAAGAGGAGCGAAAAGAGGAGGAAGCAGAGTGCATGGCTTGAGAAAGAGATACCTGGCTGGTGACATGTATACCGCACAAGGCCAGGTTGTATTTGTGGTAAATCACATGAGAACAGCAGCTTTACACAGGTAAGACCCCGAAATTCGAATGCGAAGCACAGAGGAATAATGAATCGATACAAACCGACCAGGCGTTTCGATCCGCAGCAATCATGTCAGTGGAACATTTCTTGTAAATGCACCTTACGTGTATGGGGCCCCCTTTAGTATGAAGAACATAAGCAACTTCGTAGTCTTTTAAAAGAGGGGGCAAGCTACCACTTGAGTCGATGGGATTCTGGCTGTCTAAAGAGACGGCAAGCGGTGGAAAGTATTGTTATTTCGAGCGCGTTGGAGTGTGAGATATTTTACTCATTTTTCTGGAAAGTGCCTGAAAAAGGGTTAAATTTGTTGTGGTGGACAGCATCTATATGCCAGTGACTATAGGAATAATTGGATAAACCAAAAAGAAATTTTGTGGGAGTGATTAAAATCGTTTGCTAAGGAAAGACCGGGGCAGCACAGTCCGTAACGTTGCTCATCATTACAGCACTTGTTTCGGGCGACTGACCCTTCGATCTCGGACAAATGAAAATTGTCATCATTTCCCATTTTTGGTGTACAAAAACCCTAGCACTAGCATTCTGCCTGAGAAAGGTCAGATGAGTCCTTCTCATTCGTTGGGCGAAGATTCGTTGTCGAGGTCATTTGTCCCTCCTGCTGCGACAAAGTTTCTTGTGTCGACTACCCTTTAAATTGCTATTTCGATATTGTTAAGCCTGACCGATCTTCGAAGACAGATATTGTGCAGAATGTTAAGTCAACCTACACGAGGGGGAAAGGAAACCGAAAGAAATTTTATTTCCCCCACCTTGAAAGTTCGGACGCTGATAGAATGCTTTGTTTTGCTTTTATATATTCTTTTATGAGGACCATCAAATGGATAAGGAAAGTTCAAAGTCGGAAGATAAAACTGTATACTCGGGATATCAATTGAGAGTGAAGCAGGTGGTTTTTCTGCACGATCGAGAGATCACCACTGCCATCACGAATGATTTCCAATATCCAATAAAACTTCTGAATAAAACGCAAATAGGAGACAAAAAATATCTTTGGATCAAGCTATCAGTCTCGCTTAGGCATTTAACTGTATACAATGTAGCTTTGATTCGACCAATAGGGGCTATGTACCCGAATTTCAAACATTTAAACGATCGCTTTCGAAATCAAACGGTCGACACGCCATCCCTTGCCATCCTTCAAATGCTTCTCCTCCCCTTTCTCCTCCGTTTCCTCGCATGCTCACCCATGTCCATCGTGTATCTATGATTATATTATTTCACATTCTATATTGATGCAATCTGATCTGCTCCATCGTACAATCGCACTGTGCTCGCGCTTCAGTCATTTGTGACACGTTTCTACCCTCGTTAGGGCGTACTCGCTCCTCTTGCATGGCGTCGCCTCAGGACTGCTTGAAAATAGAAAGCAATTTACGCTATACTTGTTGTCCTTGCATTTTGTCACACATGATCGATTTTATTCCCTCGGCATCATCGAATTTAATACGTACGGGCACACCTTCCACAGAGGCTGTTTAGGCATTGCACGTCCTCCTTCCTGTTGAGTGTAGCACGTGCGCTTTTGTGTCCTCCCATAGCACACATCTAAGCCTATATCTGTCTAATTTCGGACTGTGCAGAGAAGTGCGCGTGATACTGAAGATTGACTATCCAGAAACTTCGAACTCTTGAGAGGTAGTCATGGAGGGGTATCTGCAAAAGCAAGGGTAAGTTTCTGCCCTTCTTCTGGTGTTCTTATAGTAAAGTTAACTTCATTTTTTGGAATATGTATTTTAAAAACCTTGACTTCGCAGCGCAACATTGTGTTCTCCCGAATGTTTACTTCCATCTGATCAAATATTTTGTCACCATGTCATTGAGGGCCACGTGAGCAGAATTGTACTCATCTGTTATTCTTGCTCTACTTCGGGTAAAATCAAGTTTGATAATCCTTATGATGTGATAAGAAGAAACTCAGAATGCATTGAGCCAACAAGTACGAAATAAGTATGGCGATCTGTATATTGATGGGTTTGAAACGACACTTGCATTGACTTGAATCTTACTATCTGTATGTGTTATATACGTATTCTCTCACTTATTTCTGTGTTGCTTAGTACCAGGAGCAAGATATTTGTTAGGAACGATGGATTTTCTTCCTTGCATTCATATTCTCTTTTTCCATACATACATCTGTTCTCCCTTCTCTCGCAATCCTCCCTTATGGCTCCCTTACTTGCCTTACCTTCACGTCCAGATTTGTTTTCTCGTCCCGCCGCTACTTCGTCCTTACCAACACGGGGCTCCTCTGCTATGCCAACAAGGAGGATCGAAGCGAAGTACGGGACTCGTTCCCCCTTGCACCCGATACACAGGTCGTGGAGATCAAAATAAAAGGTGCGAGGAGGGGGGGTCGCGAGGGAGAGAGTGAGGAAGATGCGGGGTAAATGATAAAGTCAAGAGATAGATAGGAAACATAGGTACCCGATCAATTTGCCTACACACTCTTTATATCGAAAAGGCATGACAACCGAAGAAGGCGGGAATAAGGATTGCTCAACCAAGCTCCCCCCTTCGCTTCTCCCGCTCTCCCTCCCTTCCTTCCCACCAGACAAACTCAAATTGCGGCTGAAGAGTGAGGGTCTCACCTGGACTTTAAGTGCAGACGAAGATGACGAGGCGGAGGGCCGGCGCTGGGCTGATGCACTGGCGACGGCCGTTGCTCGTCTCGCCTCGCTTTCTAAAGGTCACCCTCCTGGGGGGCATGGGGAGGGCACACGAGAGCTTGCCCATAACCCGGCTCGGAAAGTCGTGGTCATCGAGGTGGGAGGGCAGGGAGAGAGGGTTTGAGGGAGGAAAGAGGCTGGCGTGTGCGCCTATTGGGTTTTTCGTTCTGACACGGAGAAGACTGGTAGAAAACTGCGCTTGCTCCACTGGGACCGTGGCGGACTTATCGAGGAGAAGACGAGGCTCAATCTCCGCTTGGAATTTCGAGAATCTAGGGAGACACTGTATAGCCCAACAGCTCTGCTTTCCCTGTGCTCAGATCTTGCAACATCTCATACATTGTGCTTTTCCCCCATTTATCCCCTCCGCCTTCCACTCTGCCTTTCCTCAGGGCACGGAATTTGTGATCGACCCTCGGTACGAGGTGACGCGTCGGCTGGGGAATGGTGCTTATGGCGTGGTGGTGGCAGCTAAGGACACAGTCACGGGCAAAGCGGTGAGTCGCAAGTGGAGTGGAAAGGACCGGGGGGCGGCAAGGGGGACGAAGAAAGAGGCGGAGTGTTACAACTGTGCGTGAGTCTTCTTGTCCTCAAAATTCTCTTCTCATTGGCCTCGGCTCCCCCGACATCCCGCCCTCGTTCCTATGTTCTCAACACTCCTCAGGTGGCGATTAAAAAATGCTTCAACATTTTCCAGTCGCTCTCCGACGCCAAGAAGATAGCGCGGGAAGTCCGTCTGTTAAGGCAGATGGATCATCCCAATATAACCCGGATTACAACGGTAAGATGGATGGAGAAAGGGAGGGACAAAGACACGCAAAAAAGACGACAAATTGCAACCATGCAGCTATGAAAGCGATGGCTCCTAGGCAGGAGCCTATAAGAATGGCCCTGGTCCTTAATAGGTCGACAGATGCCATGGTCGACTCTCTTCTTCTGGCCAAGTGTACGCATGCATACGAGGAGCACTGCAGACAGAGACCACCGTCATTTCTCCTGCATATGGCACGACAGGTAACCGTCTCATCCAATCTCCATGCCATTACTCTTTCCTCTTTTCTCACTCAGGTTATTCCCCCTCTGAGCGCGACTTTTGACGAGGTCTACATCGTCTCGGAGCTAATGGACATCGACATGCACAACCTCATGTACCTGTCGCGGGAAAAAATCACTCCCGACCACGTCCAATTTTTCATTTACCAGGTGAGCGAGGGGGCTGGCGGCTAGAGCAAGGTCATAAAGCGGCAGTGACTCTTGTGTTTTAGGAAATGCTTGTCTCTCCCTCCTGTCCCTGTTCTGCCGTCCTTCTCCCCTACGGTTGGACGATACTCTTATGCGATTTTTTTTCCTTTTTGTGTACCCTAGAAATCGAGCAGCGATATATTAGGCCTATTATTATTATTATTGTTATATTAGACCTCCTCAGTGTTGCTTTGAAATGTATCCTTCTGACTATCCGCCCTTGGCTCTTGTCTTCTTTCAACTCCAGGTGCTTTGTGGCATCAAGTATATGCATGCGTTGAACATCATCCATCGAGACCTCAAGGTTCGTGTTTTCCCCTGCTTTTTCCTCTCCCGGAGCACTCAAAAGGCGCGACCTTTATTGTTCCTGGGCTACTCCTTTCGGGTTTTCTTCTAGTCCGCCAGGTTGTAGCATATTTTGTAGCTGATGGTACTCTCATTTTTTTCTCCTTTCTCCGCTCTTTCTTTCCATCTCAGCCCTCCAACCTTCTCATCAACGCCAATTGTGACTTGAAAATCTGCGACTTTGGCTTGGCACGCGGGATCCAATCAAACGGCCCGGCGCAGGTATGTATCAGGGTATGATGATTTTGAAAGAAGAGGCTTTGTCAAAATTTCTTGCGAAGGGTAGAGGACGTTTTGGATGCATTAATACTTTGATATGTTGACACGTTCTTTCTTCCTCCTTGCCTCTCAACAATTCTTTCTCTTGTCTGCTCTTTTTTGCTTCAATTGTTGTTCGCAGGACAAGGAGTGCGACCTGACTGCCGCCGACGCTGCGGCCCCCGAGAAACCCAAAGACCTCCTTAGTGAGTACGTAGTCACACGCTGGTACCGAGCACCCGAAATTTTGCTCAATCCTCGCAATTACTCAAAGCCTGTGGACATATGGGTAAGTAAAACATCTCTAACAGGAAATACGAAAAGGTCTTTCGCAGGTCGTATTTGCTCACGTGTTTTGGGAACTAGGATCATGCAGAAAGTGACCTTCTATGTCTGCTCTCTTTCTATATCCATTTATCAGCGTCTATGGTGATTCTCTTTTTTTGGTGTTTCTGGTGATCCTTTTCTGAAGATTTGAATTTTCACAATTCTTTGCATTCTGTGTGCCTATCCGAACAGGCGGTGGGGACCATTTTTGGAGAGCTCTTGGCACGCAAGCCCATGTTTCCAGCGCACAATTACGATCATTTGATCCGTTTGCAGACCCGAACACTGGGGAGTCCTTCTGAGGAGAATTTGAAATGGGTAACGCGAGAAAAAGCGCGCACCTTCATGCGGTCCCTCCCTCAGTACCCCCGTCGGGACTTCAAAAGGTTGGTAAAGATATTTACAAAATTTGGGTTGGGGGAATCGTAGAATGTTTAGGATAGAATGAGGATACAGTTTCTTGGCTTGAAATGACGATAGCGATAGGAATTTAGTGCAGGAAAATGTTCACGATAAACTTGGATTATGCTGGTTTGGATGCAATCTGCTCCACGCTTAAACTAGTCTTTTCTAATCTGCGAATTCCGGGTGAGCAATCTAAGGGTGTTCTCTTCTTTCACGCATATACTCTTTTCCCCTTTATATTCTTTCTTACACTTTCACAACCCTTAAGTTTGTATCCGGAGGCCTCCGGCCCAGCTTTAGACCTTCTGGAGAAGATCCTACAATGGGACCCGGCCAAAAGACCCACCGCCGCCGAGGCCCTTTCTCATCCGTACTTTGATGACATTCGTGACGCAGACTTTGAGCAGGTAAGGGAGATAAAAATCGCTTCAAGTATTCGATGCAAAAATGTATATTTGTGAAATGTTAGAGTGGGTTGGCGCACGTCATAAAAGAGCGTCGACTAAAGACGTCAGCTTGGAAGGTCAAATATGCAACCCTTATGTGGCTGATAGACTGTTCTTGACATGCACGTACACACAGGAATCAGACTTGATCATCGACTGGGGGGACTTGGAGACCATGCGCACCACGAAACTCAATCTACAACGGTAGGTGCCTCGCTTTCAAGATCTTCCTCCCCTAAATGTGCTCAGGTCACTTTTCCACTTCAAAAAAATATCTTGTGCCATTTTTTTTCCATCCACTGTGCTTAATCAATCTATTTGTCGCTATGCTAGGTACCTGATACAGGATATGGTATCGATGAATCCCGAGTCCTCCGCTTTGCTGAAAATGGTAGCTCATGAAAGTACCGGGAAGGCCGCGGGAGCCACGTAAAAGCGCGGGGTGGGACGATGGGAGAGATGGGGTTGAAAGGGATTGTGTTGGAAGTGACTGTCCTGTGGCTAGGTAGAAGTATGGGAGAGATAAAGTGTAATGCTACGATAGAAGCACGCATCAGGACAATCAGAAAGAGAAAGGAGACCGCATGAGGAGGATCGCGAGCTTTCAACGTGAAACCTCAAGCTTCAGCATGGTCACAAGGCTTTGGTGGCTATTCTATTCCATGTTATGGGGGCTTGCCTATTTGTCAATTAAGAGATCGTATGGACGTCAGCATCCAGCCTTGAATAACGCATGAATTAGGAAGTGTAGTGCGACAAAGGAAAGCCGTGAAGACAAGCGTGAGGAGATTCATGTCAAAAATCCGGTTCTGTGGCAGTCAATGATTGGAGAAGCAACAAAATGGCACCAGGCAAAGTCCGAGTCATGGATTAGAAAAAGAAACAAGGATACATATCATGTACGCGAAACCATCGCATACCATGCAGGCTATATCTGCGCAAGATGTTGCCTTCTAAGGATGAGAACCGGACAGGAAAATATGAGCTCGGAAGCCGAAAAGAAAGCAAAAAGGAAGACATTATACATCCTACTCTCAACTTCACCAGGAAAAACGTGAAGCATGAAGTATATATTCAAAAAAGGATTTGGAACCCAACTAGCCCTTGGGCCAATCCACTGGCTCTCATATAGTGTGGCGCGTGCTTTTTCTTATCTTTTTCAAAAACAATTTCTACCAAATTAAATTGATTATACAAATTACATTCACACTTTTCATTCAAGCCATGTAAAACTTTTAGTGGCTGCTTTTTTGCTAAGCTCCACAAGTGAAGGTCGCGCCAGGTATCCTGTTGGCGCGGTACAAACACCCCTGTGGATTATGTCATTTGAGACAATAAATTTCAAGAGAAGTGACAGCTATCCCTTCCATTTGCAGATATTGTATGCAAAGAGCTATACGTGCAGGTGATATTTTAATGCATGTGCGTTCGCAAGAGGAGTGAAAACATTGAAGTTTGTAGCCCCACAGCAAGATCCATTTCCTATAGAGCTGGCCCTTGGCAAATTGGTGAAAAGGACGATATACTTTGCTGCTCCTCTCCTTGATTTTCACTCTCCTCATCCTATTCACGTCCCTTCTCATCTATCGATATTACCTGCAAAAGTAGGCCAGCCACATTACTCAGCATGATTCCTACAGTATCGGCTATGGAGGCGGAGACCAACGCCAATTCCCTGTTCATGTGTTGGAGAAAGGTAAAGCACACGGTATTATCAGAATATCTCCATTTTTTGTACAAGATATAGCTTCTGCCTGCTTTCCGCCCGTTTATCACTGACTCTCCCTACCCCCGGACCCTGCTACCTGTGGTCGTCCCGTGTGTGCCGGGAAATGAGGCTGAAACCCGCCACGTAAACGGCTCCGCCAAAAAGACCCGCAACAAAGCACAGGCTCAAAAGGCCCCAATCATACCTATACAATACAAAAGGAGCCTGTCAGACTTCGTCATGGGTTTGATACACTGCGGCCTTAAATTGCACGTCACGTTGCCATGAGTGAATGCATGCCTATTTTTGAATGTGTCCGCCTCGATTGCTTGTCATTGCTGGTAGGCAAACGCACCAAAAGTGCCAAATGGCATTCAGACAGAAGAAGAGGAGAAGGAGGCACTGAAGGGCGGGAAGGGTCCAGAGCAAAGGCAAAGAGGGGGGGAGAAGCAGGCCCGACGAGCGCGAGAGGAAGACGCCAATCTGTTTAAGAGTTACCAGGCCATGAAAGGAGGTGAAGCAGAGAAAAAGGATAGCGTTACGATGAAGGTCAAGAAGATCAGCACATTCAGACTTAGTACCTGATAAGACATGTTGGCCCACGCGTAAAAGAGCTTGCGAGCCTTCTCTTCCTCGACGGGAAAGCCAATGGCCGACCAAGCCCCTGACTGCATCGCATACTCCGCCCAATATACGGTTACCTTTAAGGATGAGAAGGAGAGAGTGAAAACATGTTAGCCTCCAGAAGGGGATATAAATGTGGCCGCCGACAAAGCAGGCGTCTTGTAGGATCTTTCCTCCCCTCCAGCTTCCTCACCAGGGGCACAGTGTAGGGCCACAGGCTTAAAAACAGCGACCAGCGCTCACGAATAGTGAATACGTGGGTGTGAGGGTGACTCCGTTTCCCTTTTCTCGTTCTCGCCCGTTTTTGTACCCGCCCTCCCTTTCTCTCCCTGCCTCGGCCCTCCCCCTCTCGTTCCCCGCCCCTTCCTTCCTCCTCCTCTCCCTCCGCCTCATTGCGCAACGATGTAGAGGGATACGAATACAAGGGAGAGATTGCATTTGGAGAGAGAAGTGCGGAGGCGGCAGTGCCCTAAGAGGGAAAGGAGAGACCCGGAGACAGAAATCAAGGGAGAGAGGCATGGGGGTAGAAGGGGAGGGTGGACGTAAGATTGACAAAAGCGCGCAAAGGAAGGCGCTAGAAGATTGATGGAGGTGCACCAGGTTAAGAGGAAGCGAGTAGTATCCGGGAAAAGGGCCTCGCATGTCCAACTAGGCAGCAGAACACATAGGTGATGAAAATAAGTGCTGAGAAAGCTGGGGACAGCTTCTCGTGCTGGTCCTACAAGCGATCCTCCTTTTCTTTCCCCCCTCCTACTCCCCTTGCCCCGTCCGCCGCCTCACCTCGCCAAAGTCCGGCAAACCTGCTCCTTCTCCATCCTCCCCTTCATCCACCCCATACTCCTCCTCGTCCCGCTCGTCCACTGCAGAGCTCAACTCGTCGTTTATGTCTGCCAGCACCTCCTGTGACGACGAGACATGGTTACGAAAGAGGGAGGTTAGAAGGGAGGAGGACATTTGGCAGGGGTATGCTTGAAATGATGCAGAACAAGAGAGGACGAAGGAGAAACAATGGGGAAAGTAAATGGAAGAGGAAAGCAAGGAATGAGAAAAGGGAGTCAGGAGGCAGAAAAAGGAGGGAAAGGCGCCCCGACCTGGTAAGCCTCAGACGTGGGGTCTCCCAGAGCGTAAAAGAAGGTGAACATCCAAGCGATCGGGAGTAGCAGGGCGGCTATGAGGGTCGCGGGAAAGGACATGTGGAGGAGGAGGTGGAAAAACACCACCCACGCGTACCCTTGGGAAAATGTGGAAGGGGGGAAAAAGCGAGGGGGGGAAGAAAGGAAGGGGGCGGGGAGGACATGGTAGGGAGTTGGGGGCGTTCGAAAGAGAGAAACTAATGTAAGCGACGCTGAAGAAGAAGAATCCAAAGGGTGCATGTAAAAAAGAATATGAAATTGCCTCCAAGCTTCCCTCCATTCCTACCTAGAATGCCCGCAAAACCGGTTCCCGAGGACCAGGCGGTGATGGTGGAAGGGCCATGGTATTGAGCGGTCAGTCCCAGCATGGAGGCCTCACCGATCCCTGCTTGGAGAGAGCAGAAGCCAACGCCTATGGTAAGGGAGGCGAAGTAAATAGGGAAGAAAAGAAAAGCGACATCAATAACAGTGTCTAGATGGGCAGGCGCTAGCTCTCGCGACGAATGCAGACACGTGCGATTGGGGGAGGAAGGGAGGGAGAGAGGAGGAGGCTAGGGTGAAAAGAAGCAGTGGCTTGTCAACATACGGAGAAGAAGGAGAGGACGAAGCTAAAAGCGGCTACGGTACATAGTTTCAAAAATAAGAGAGAGAGCTCACGACGCGATGGCTGTTAGCTCTCAAAGGTCGGTGCCAGAAGAAAAGAAAGGGAAGTTGCGCATACAAAGAGAATGTCGGAGCGAGGAAGAAAGGGGGGAAAAGAGAAAGCTAGTACAATTAAGAAGCTGCTTTTCTGCCAGCACATACATGCTCCTCCCGTCTTTCCTCTTTTTCCCTTTCTCCTTTCCCCCTCCTTCCTTTCATTTGCTCCCCCGCCCCACCTGTGAGCTGTACAGCCAGTGTCCTACCCAGTGCTACCGTCAAAAGAGACGCTGCCATCAAGAACCCGCACAAAGATGCGCGAAGAGAGTAGGAAACGTGGTGAAACCTGAGGAGGGCCGGGGGGTTGGGGAGGGAGGAAGGGAGGAGAAGAGGAGGGGGAGGAGGGTGGTGAGAGCGGGCCACTTCAAGAAGGATGATGGTCATTATGAGGCACTGGAATCGGATACATGTAGACTCGAATATTGCCGAGAGAATTGCCGCGTGCGGGACCGAGCCACTCCTTCTTCTCCCCGGGACTAGCAGGCAAGGCCTCCCCGCCCACCACCTGCCCGAATGCTCCATCCAGTCACCCTTCGCCACTTCTGCCTGTCCTCAAGATCTTAAAGCTGGCCACGCAGATGAAAGGAAACTCCTCTGACACCCACGGCACTCCCTTTCTCCACAAAGGGCTTCAGGTATATGGGGGGGGAAGGCCCTAAAAGTCCTCTTAATAGACGCCGTGTCAACCACTCCTACATTTATCTTTGAAACCCTTCATCTTACCGCACTGGTCCTAGTCTTGCTCTGTATTGCCACGTACCAGTAGGGCGCCGAGAGCTTGACCAGGAAAGTGGGTGCCACGTCCGCCAGGAAAACCAAGCCCACGCCGCCCGCATTGATCTCTGAAGAGGATGACGTGACGCCAAGATGGGATCAACGACTATACAGGAAAGGCATGCTACCCGCATCGATCAGCTCTTTGGTACATACCTTTGGCCCCAGCGAGCATGATGACGTACACGACATTGTTTAGAAGACCCAAGGCCCAAAAAGCAGCCAAATTCTGACGCTTCTCCATTGCCTGCTTGTCCCCATCTCTGCCCATCCTTCCTCGCAGCCACGTTCGCATTCCCCCGCCCTCGTCTCCCTCAATGCCTCCCCCTCCCCCCGGTTCTCCTCCACCTCTTCCACCCCGCGATGCGCTTTCCCGGTCCCGTCGAGGTGGGGACAGAAGTACGACTGACCTTGTAGGCAGACGAGATCGGGTCTCAGAGCTAGCCTCGCCACTCAATTCGAAAGGGTCTATGCTTTCAAGCCCTAAAGAGGGCAGAGATAACTCTGTGAAGGGGGACAAAGTCGCTGCTTCAGGAGTTGATTGTGCCACTGTCGACTGCGAGAGCTACCATTCGAAGGGCCCCAACACCCCGCTTCTGTCGTGTTTCTGCTGCCCGTACGGGCTCCTTCGCCTCTTTTTATGCTTTTCCCCGCTGTACAATGGGTGCCGTGGTGCGTGTCCTCTGTGGGAGGGCAGTGGGTGCTTCCGCGCGTCATTTTCCCAAGGCCTCATGCTTGAAGAACAACAGGTAACGGTCCTCGCCAAGAAGGCCGCGACCGGCCCACTGCCCGGGTGCTGCACACATCCCGTAATTCAGTACGCCCTCCCTGTCTTTTGAACGGCTCTAGGTCGCAGCTTAGGAGATACAGGGGTGACACCTTCTTTTTGAGGTGGTCTTGTAGAGATTTGGTGTGGCTATTGGACAGGTAAAGCTCCGTTCTGCTCTGTTAGCCAGCTCTCCCCTATGCGTCCCTTGACCCCAGTCCACAAATCTAAGAGGTAGCTAGCGGAACAAAAACTTCTCTTTCAAGACCTCACGACGTATTTGATTCTTGAATTTCGTGAGGAAAGAATGTGCGCGTGGACGTTTATATCGGCGTCGAAGGAGGATCGCGATCGAAGATGGCTTCTCCCAAAATGGACTATTTCCCAACCTCTCATATACCTCGTCGACGCCGTTAGAAATAACAGTTCCATCGTACGCTTCTTTCCGACATCCCATCATTCCTTATACTTGTCCTTCAGATGGACGGCACCTCCACACTGGGCGAAAAGAAACCCGCTGCCTATGAGGGCTTGCCCACTCAGTCCCTCCCCCCGGACGTGATCCAGGCGGTCCAGGAGGCCCTCCCCACAAGCGATCCTCTCGATCGAGCGGTAAGTGTGGGGCGGTTCGATTTGAGGGGTAGTGATCGCGGGTTGGAAAGCGTGGTGTGTTTGGATGATGAGGAATGAAGATAGTGGAAGAGGAGTGGAAGCACGGAGAATGTGCGACGATTACGTTAGGTAGATTGTCAAAAGAATAGAGACCTTTTCCACACAGGAACGTGGAGCTAGATTGGAAAATCACAAAGCTGGGGTCCACGTCTTGCTTGGCATTAACCTCGTCTTCCTCTTTTCCCCTTTACTGATCTCGCATCCGCAGGATTTTGACCCAGTGGACTATATCAATACCAAATTTCCATCGGAGCAAATTGCCCTTGAAGCCCTGGACCCTTTCATCGGGCAGATCACGGAGGAGATAGGTGAGCGATCTTTCTCTATCCCTTTTTCCCTCTCTGCTTGCCTCGATACATCCTTGAGTCTTCGTCGTCTTCTGGCTCGCATACCTCCCCCTCATCGGCCCCGGCCCTCCTTGCGCAAGGTGCACTTGATACGGATATCTCCCTAGCCATCGAGGCGCAAGCAAAGGCGGGGGAGGAGGCCAGCAAGAACATTGGAGAAGCCCAGGTAACCCCCTCGCTACCCCTCTCTCCCCCTCCCCGTCCCGCTCCCTTCTATCGGTGTACATGACAGTATATTTAAGTTTCGCTCGTCAGCTTTGATCTAGACAGGCTGCTCACACTACCAACCAATGGCTCAAAAATCGCATGGCTCCCACTCCACACGCGATCGAACACGGGCATCTGGGTGACACTTGCTCTCCTCGTTGATGTCCCGAGGGGGGCACTATCCTCCTCCCTTCCTCCTGACCCTCCTTTTCATCCTCTCATGTCGGTACCCCACCCCCTCCTTTGGTCTTCGTTTTTTCCAGTCGGCCATTTCTGACCTCTTCAACAAAATCCGGGATATCACTGCCAAAGCCGAGCAAAGCGAGGTGATGGTCCAAGAGATATGCCGGTGCGTCCTCAAAAACGCCCTTTCCATGCGATTTCCTCTCTCTTTTCTTACCCTTCACTTCATGACACTGCTCATAACTTTGCAGGGCGTGTGAGAAAAGTCGATTTGCACTCATCGCCGGACACACATCCCTTCCTTCCTCCCTGCCCCTCCCCCTCCTCCCAGCGACATCAAGCAACTTGACCTGGCCAAGTGCCATTTGCAAGCCACCATCACGGCGCTCAAACGACTGCACATGCTGATGGCCGCGCTGGACCAACTCACCTTCATGACCGAGCATCATCACTACAAGGAAGCCGCCCAGCTCGTGGACGCGGTGCGGCAGGTGCGTCTCGGGCCCTGTGCCTCCCTCCCGCCCTTCCTCCCCGCCTCTCCTGGCTTCGCTGTCCCTTTTCCGTTACCTCTTTTGGGCCGTAGAAGTAAAGTGTCAATTTCTCTTCGTTATCCTACTATTCTCTCGATTCAATTTTCTCCCAGCTTTCCACCCATTTTGACGCTTACGCGTCGATGCCGAAGATCGCGGAGATAAAGCAAACGATCGAGCGCATCAACACGCAGCTGAATGATCAAATCACCCAGGTAGGTCCTCTTTCATTGTCTCCCCCCCCTCCCCTTCTTTTTTTTGCTAGGGTACGTGGAGGGGAGCAAAGTGTCGTTCAATATGGAGCCTAAGACTCAAGTTTTTGGTGACTACGCATATTGAAGATGTCTGAAGATAATTAAGGCGCCCTCCCTCCTCCTTCCCATTATCGCCCCCCTCAGGCCTTTTCGGAGGTCGCCGCCTTGTCCTACACGGTAGCCAACCCCTCCCAGTTAGAGAGGGAGGACGTGAGCCCGGGCTTCTTTTCCTCTTTGACGGAGGCGTGCCAGGTGGTGGACGCGCTGGGTCCTGCCGCTCGAAAGGTGCGCAAGCTAGGGAGGAAACGCGGCGTGATTGATTCGCATTGATCCGCATTTGGACGCTTTGGGCGAGCCTGCCCATGCCTGGCGATGCTCACACATGTCGGCTTTTGGTACATGGCCCCCACCTCGCTTCCCCTCCCTCCGTCCCTTTTCTACTTACTTTTGCCCCGGTTGCAGGTGCACATCGACGACTTCTGCAACCGGCAGCTCGCTCCGTACCTGAAGGCCTTTCCTAAAGGGGGGGAAGCGTCTTCTCTGGAGAAGATCGAGCGAAGGTTCGCTTGGTGCCGTCGAGCTTTGAAAAACGTGGAGGAACGGTAAGGGGAGGAGGAAGGAAGGGAGGGAGGAAGGAAGGGAAGGGGACAGGGGGGGTGGAGGAGGAAGGAGCGCTCTAGTAATTGAATCGACACCGTGCCGTGCCAACTTTATGGCCCCTGGAACAGATTTCATGGCGTCTTCCCGGCCCACTGGAAGGTGGAACTGTGCCTCCTGATGACGTTCCTGCAAACGACTCGACAGCACATCCTCGACACGCTTGAAGGTACTCTTGTCTCCTCACTCCACTGCGTCGACTGCTTCGTGTGCCTTTACAAATTATCGACCTTCATGCCTTTGAAAAGATTTTCCATGGCCCCCCCTTCTTCCTCCTTGCTCCATCCACTTGTCTTCTCCTATTTACCGAATTTACCCCTGAGGTATCCGACCTTCTCCCCTTCCCTCGCTCCCTTCATGGCCTCCACCATTTCCTTCTCCCCAGCCGGCGGTCCAGAAAGTGAGGACGTGACTGTGCTCCTCAAGGCCCTTCAAAAAGCTCTTCTCTTCGAAAAGGAAATGCAGCCCCGCTTTCAACCAACCCAGGTCTTTTTCCTCTCTCCTTGCTTCCCCCTCTGAAACCCTTTCTGCCTCATTTCCTTCCTTCCCTCCCTATTTGTCCCCCCTCCTCCTAGATGTACATCCTAGGCTACGTCCCACCCACCTCACAATCATCATGTCCCCTCCTTTCTCTTTCTCCCGTGTCCCACAAACCTTCTATCCTCCGTTTCCTCTCTTACAGGACGGTCACTCTTCCCTGCCCCACCCCCTCCCTCCCGCCCTTCAAGAGGAGGAGACTTCCCAATACGCCGCCCTTGCGAAAGACGGCAAAGCCGCCGAGCAAAAAAAGGTGACCTTTCTCGGTCTTCTCTATTTGCATCTATCTCCCTGAATTTATCTTCCATATTTTCTGCCAGCTTCTCCGCTTCTTTTTGAAATTTATTCGTCCCTTTTTCTCGTTTCCCTTTCCGCTACATGATGTACAACAGGCTATCTTGGATGCAGCAGCCGTGCTTCCCATCCTTGGCGTTGTCTCAGGTATTTGCATGCTCTTCTTTTTCTCCCACTTTCTTCTTTCTATTTCTCGTCTCCTTTATTTCAGTAATACTGCTGTTGCTCTTTTCAATTTCTCTTTGTGAACTCGATTCCATTCCTTTTCGCTATCTTCTGGGTTGCCGTTAAATAAACCCTTGTCCCTCTACCTCCCTCAGGCGTTTTTGATCCCTTCATGGGCCCTTACATCGATTTGGAGAAGAGGAACATGGAGGAGATGTTAGAGAAGGCGCTGGCAGAGGACCAAGTCGACCGGTAGGAGGGAAGGAGGGGGGGGGACGGATAAGTAGAGAAGGATGGAGAGTGCTGGCCTTGCCCCCCACGATTCATTATTCCTGACCCTTTTCCCCTTTCCACCGTTTTGCGCTAGCTCCTTGAACGCGGGGACGAAGCTCCCCGTCTTTAGCAGCTCGATCACGCTCTTTGTCTACATCAAAACGGCGATCAAGCGGTGTACGGCCCTCACCACCTCCGCCACCTTCTTCATTCTGGCCAAGGAATTCAAGGTCAGACCACCGGGGGGGAGGGCAAAGGCTCGAATGGATTGGGAGCTGGGCGGCCCATTTTGGGGGGCAGGTCGTGGTCTTGGAAAGATGCGTGGAATTGGCCGTTTTGGGCGTTCAGATTTTCGCCGTCCTTTGCTTCCTTTCTCATCTTTCTTTTCCTGCATTTCTCCTTCAGGCCTGCTTGTTATCCTATGCCAGAGCCCTCCGGGGGAAGCTCCCACCGGCCAATCCTTCTTCGTCCTCGTCCTCCTCTTCCTCATCCGCCGCCAGCTCCTATAGGCTCGCCGAGGGCGGGGAGGTTGACGTATGTTACCTGTTAAACACGGCGGAATACTGCACAGATACCTTACCACAGGTGAGAGGGAGCGACGGAGGGTGGCAGATGTCGGGGGAGAGAGGATGATACGTGCCGTATTCCTAAAGAGTATCACTCGGTCTTCCTCCCAATATCTCTTTGAATCCTTCTTTTCTCACCCCCCCTTCCTCCCCTCCTTTCTCTCCCCTTACTTTTTCCCAGCTGGAAGAAATGGTCCGGTCCAAGATCGACCCATCTTATGCTGAGTCCGTTTCCTTCTCAACCGGTGAGGATGAATTGAGGGAAGGGGAGGGGGGAGGAATGGAGAAATGGGAAAGAATGCTGATATCAGAGACACCAACACGGAGTTTGGTTCCTTCTTGGGAGTGGACAAAGAAAGTTCAAAGAGGCAAAGAGGAGCGTGAAAGGGGAGCGAAATATGATAAATATTTTGGGAGGAGGTCAGGGAGGAAAGATGGGGAAGAGTAACAGGCCTGAGGGAGAAAGTAAGCGTAGGGACCATAAAAAGAGGTTAGCTAGCAACAGGAAGCTTCTCACTCCCCCCTCCATTGCCTTTCTCATAGAGGTAGACGCTTTCCACGACACCATCACGCTTGCAATACGCGTGCTCATCTCCGGTCTGGAGGGAAAGTACGAGTCGGCAGTGAAAGCGATGCTCACCCTGAATTGGGCTGCGTGCGAGGGGGTGGGAGAAGAAAGCGCATACGTTCGAGTAAGGAGGGAGGGAGGGACCGAAAGAGAGAGAAAGGGAGGAAAATGACGAATGAAAACCAGGGGAACCGGCAGACTGGCGTACCACGCACATGGATGGATGTGGTGACAGAAGAGCAGTGGTTGCAATTACTGGAGCTATCAGATTCGTAGCATGTCTATTCACTTCGTCCCTTCTCCAATCTCTCCCCCCTTCCTTCCTGCCCCCCCACCCCTTCCTTTCTGCATGCTCCTTTCCCCTTCCTTCCTTTTTCCTTCTCTTCCTCCCCCCAGGCCATCAACGACGCTGTCCGCGCTTATGTGCCCTCCGTAAGGGATTTGCTTTCCCAAATCTATTTCCGGAATTTCTGTGACAAATTTGCTCAGGTAACATTGTTTATCTTCATCATTCAAAGCGTGTGTACGCGCTAGGATGGAGCATGCTGCCGTGAGTTTTACCCTTTCCCAGGCTGACTCCTAAAACTGGCACTCCCATCTCCCTTTTCTTTTCCTCTCTCCCTTCATTTTTTTCTTCAGTCCTTCCTTCCCAATTACATGGACGTGCTTTTTCGTTTGAAAAGGATCAACGAAATGGGCACCCAGCAGCTTCTCCTCGACGTCTACAACCTCAAGACGCTCCTTCTTCAGGCGAGTCCTTTCTCCCTTTCCTCTTCCTGTGTCCTCGATTTTCCCAACCCGGAGGCGTTGTAGGTTGTTGACAATTTTCCGCATTTCCGTCCTTCTTCCCCTTCGTTCCTTCTCCCTAGCTCCCTATCATCGGTCTACCTCCTACCATGGATGATGCCGCTCCTGGCGTGAGTACAAGCGCCCCACCGGCTTACGTCAAGTATGTGGCAAAGCAATTCGCCAAGATCGAGGTAAAAAAGAGGCTTAGAGGGTGCGATTGTAGGAAAGGTGGAGGGGAGAGGGAGCAAGGAGGATTGAGGAAAGGAAAAGGAGGGGCACTAAGGACGCTTCGGATGCAATGAGACACAAGAGACAGCATTTCGGCGAAATGTCCTGGTCTTTCAACGTCCTTTCTCTGTTTTCATCTACCCTCCTCAGACGATGTTGAAGCTGATTGGCACACCTGTGGAGGTCTTGGGAGAGAGGTATCAGATCATGAACCCTGAGGGCGGAGCGCAAGGTAGGGAGGGAGAGTGCGAAGGAAGGAGGAGGGAACAAAAGCAGGAAAAACATGGCATGACGTCGGTCTACCTGCTAACGATTCCTTCGGAATACACCGTTCCTCTCCCCCCTCTCTTTCAGACCTCCTATCCATCATGTCGCTCAAGGGCATGACCAAGAAAGAGCAGCAGCAAGTCCTTCTCAGCTGTGGCCTCGACCACTCCCTCCCTCCTTCCGCTCCTGAACCCACCGCGTCCTTCCCACCCTCCTCCCTGCCTTCCTCCTTCGGCACCTCCCACGCTGCCTATCCGGCAGTCGGGGCCTCCCTGGATGCGGCTAAGCAAGTTGCGGGAAAAGGACTCAAGGTGATGAGCGAGGAGATGAGACGGGCGTTCAAGGGGTAAAGCGAAGTAGCCCCCTTGTAGGACGGCTTCATGTAACAGTGGGGAAACTCGACACGTATGTATAAGGAGGCATAGCTGGAGTGTGATAAACATGGAGGACGAGGAGAGGGGTGGAGAGAAGGAGGGGACCAAAAGGAATTTGTCCCAAGACACTGGAGCCAAGAGGGGTGTGTCTTCGATTGTGCGAATGGAGATGCAGGAGCATGGATCGACGAGGGTGCTCCTCGATGGGTGGAGAAACGACTGAAAGAAGGGAGGCCAATGAAAGAAATACTCATCACCAGAAGTAGCTCCGCCTGTGGTTAAACGATGAGGCCAAACCTATTTCACCAGATGCAATTTGGTCCAATTTGGCTGTTAAATTGTTTGTTTCTCGCGTCCTGTAGCCCCTCTCATCTGCCTCCACCTCTGCTTTCAAATACTTCAAATTCCACCTCCCGTCCCTTTTTTACTTGGTCCCAATTTCCTTCTGCGTCCCTCAGAAATTCTCCTCCGCCTCCTCCTCCCCCTCCTCTTCCTCCTCCGCTTCCTCCGGTAGCTCCAATTGGTCTATGGCTGCTTTGACCAGATTTCCGTCTTTCGGGTCGAAATCCAGGGCGAGGAGGAAGTGTCGCAGCGCCTTCTCACGCTTGCCGAGACGTTTGCAGATCTGCAGGAAAGCAGACAGGGAGGGAGGGAGGAAGGGAGGGCGGGGAGGAAGAGGGGGTGTGAGACGGTTGGAGAAAGGGAGGGCGGGAGCGACGTCTACGTCTCTCAGCCGCAGCCACAACGGGGCCCAAGGATTAATGGGAATGCCTCGGGAGAAAAAGAAAGAGTACCTTGCCCAGCAGGAAGTGAACGCTGGCCTCTCTGGGGGCGTGGTCCCTCACTCTCTCCAATTCTTCCTGTGCCTCTTGGTAGCTAATAAAAGGAAAGGACGCCAAAGAGGAGACAGAGTGGAAGAAATATCAGTTCGTATCGGAATGTACATGTGGAAAAATCGAAAAGCGGATAAAAATGTGTGCGTGTGATTCGTTTGGTGGAAAGAGAGGGCTTCGAGAATGGGCCTTGAAGAGAGATGGACGAAAGGGGGAAGAATAGGATGATGGGAGTACCGATCAAGTTTCATGAGGACGTTGGCGCGCTGAAAGCGAGCTTGAGGGTTGTCAGGCTGAATCGCCGAGGCGCGTGCTAGCATGTTCAAGGCCTGAGGGACAAAGAGAGGGGGGGGGGAAGGGAGGGAGGAAGGGTGTTGCCCATCTATTCATGGGACTCCAGGACCAACTTTTAAACATCAAGGCTGAGAAAGGGGGTGAAAAAAGAGGAAAAGAAGGCCCTGGAATGCACCTGTAGGCTCTTCCCGTTAGCGTGAAATACCATGCCCAGGTAGGTGTGGAGGACGCTGGAGGCGGTATTGATGCTCAGCGCCCGACTGAAGTGATATTCTGCCAGTTCGTATTTTTCCTGCCTGAAATAGATGGTGCCCAGGCCGTACCTGGAGGAAGGGGGGAGGAAGAGAGGGAGGGAGGG